GTATTACGTATTTTCAGATTGTTGATTTTTTTCGTCTTAATAATTTGTTAGGGATTTTAGCATATAAGTAGAAGTAACATATAATTCTTACTTCTTCTGCTATCTTTACTTTGGATATAAAGAATCGCAGGCATTAAAAATTTTGTGGTGTAGATAGAAAGTCCACTTAAATCAAATCGAAATCACTAATATATTCTGATTTCTACTATTTAATTTTCTCACTTTTTTCATTTTTCTCTGTTGAGACTTTTCTCTATCCCTTACTTTTTAACCTTCTCAAATTTGGAAATTATAACTTTGTAGTGGCTACTCCAGAAATATTTTGCCAAATATCTTACAAGTTTAAAATTATGTATTTGTCCTACTTTTAAACACTGGTAAACATCCAATTTCCATTCTCTATGTGATATTTTTGTTCAGTAGTTTAGTCCTATGTTGTCTTTATAATCTTCTAATAATTACTTTGGGAATATTATTGAGACGATTATATTAACTGACATATGTAAAGTACCTAGATAGTGCCTGGAACATACTAACAGTTACATTAATGTTTGCTAATATTATTTTTATTGTCACCGACATTTTAAATTTTATTATTTCTGTATTGGGGTTGCCTAGGATATGCTGCAGTAACAAAGAGAAACCCTAGTGCTTTACGAAACATAGCTTCATGTTTTGACTTTGTGTTTCTTTTCACTTCTACCACATGCCCTACAAGAGTTGGCTCCATCTCTATAATTCATCAGTTTTACTCCAGAACCTAGGTTGACAAAAAGACAGTATATAGAATCATCCTAGAAAAAAGTGCTTAGGCTAGAAGAGGCACATATCAGTTCCCCTCACAAGTCATTGGCCAGAATTGTTTACATAGCAATCCAGAAAGTACAATCTTAGCATGTGCCGAGAAGTCAGAGAATTGGAAATATTCAATAATCAGCATTAATGAATAACATATCATCTTTTGTAATTTCCCTATATTTTTGTCTTAAAATTTTACCAGCTTAACATCTGGATTCTTGCTTTAACTTCTTATTTTTTGCACTTTGGGAGTTCTTAATTGCTTGCCATTTCAATGATGCATTCAAAAGTTTTATTTTATATTTTATCTACTAGTATTTTTTGAATTTTTAGAAAAACAGTATAGTACTGGTACAAAAGCAGACACATAGATCAATAGAGCAGGATGGAAGGTCCAGAAATAAACCCACACACTTATAGTCAATTCATCTATGACAAGGGAGGCAAGAATATACAATGGAGAAAAGACAGTCTCTTCAGTAAGTGGTGCTGGGAAAACTAGACAGCTACATGTAGGAGAATGAGATTAGAACATTCTCTAACACCACATACAAAAATAAACTCACAGTGGATTAAAGACCTAAATGTAAGACTGGATACTGTAAAACTCCTAGAGGAAAACATAGGCAGAACACTCTTTGGCATAAATCACAGTAGTATTTTTTTTCAAACAAGCTCCTTGAGTAATGCAAATAAAAGCAAAAATAAGCAAATGGGATCTAATTAAACTTAAAAGCTTTTGCACAGCTAAGGATACCATCAACAAAACGAAAAGACAACCTACAGAATGGGAGAAATATTTGCAAATGATGTAACCGACAAGGGACTAATTTCCAAAATATACAAACAGCTCACACAGGTTAATATCAAAAAACAAAACAAAACAAAACAAAACACCAAGCAACCCAATCAAAAAATAGGCAGTAGACCTAAACAGACATTTCTCCAAAGAAGTCATCCAGATGGCCAAAGGGTACATGGAAAGATGCTCAATTTCGCTAATTGTTACAGAAAAACAAATCAAACTACAATGAGGTACCACCTCACACCAGTCAGAATGGCCAGCATTAAAAAGTCTAAAGTAATAAATGCTGGAGAGGGTGTGGAGAAAAAGAAACCCTCCTACACTCTTGGTGGGAAAATAAATTGGTGCAGCCACTATGGAGGACAGTATGGAGGTTCCTTAAAAAACTAAAAACAGACCTACCATATGATCCAGCAATCCCACTCCTGGGCATATAGCCAGAGAAAACTATAATTCAAAAAATAAGACATGGGAACAACCTAAATGTCCACCCACAGATGAATGCGTTAAAAAAAATGTGGGCTGTGTGTGTGTGTGTGTGTAAAGTAAATATAAATATAATGGAATATCAGCCATAAAAAAGAATGAAATAATGTCATTTTCAGCAACATGGATGGATTTAGACATTATCATATTAAGTGAAGTCAGACAGAGAAATATCATTTGATGTCACATATATGTGGAATCTAAAGAAAAATAGAAATTTTATTTACAAACCCAAAATAGATTCATGGACATGGAAAACAGACTGTGGTTACCAGGCAGGGGAAGTGGGAGACAGGCATAGATTAGGAGTTTGGGATTAACAGAGACACACTAATATACATAATATAGATAAACAGTAAGGACTTACTATAGAGCACAGGGAGCTATATTCAATTTCTTGTAACGAGCCATAATGGAAAAGAAACTGAAAAAATGTATGTATGTATAACTGAATCGCTTTGCTGTACACCTGAAACTAACATTGTAAATTGACTACACTTCAATAAAAAATAAGAATTAAAAAAAAGCTATAAGAATATATTGTACAGCACCGGGCATAAAGCCAATATTTTATAATAACTTTAATGGCATATAAACTATAAAAATTTTGAACCACTATGTTGTAGACCTGAAACTAACTTAACATTGTAAATCAGCTAGACTCTCAATAAAATATAAATAAATAACCCAGTGGGGGAGAAATGAGATCATATACCTTCAGTGGTCTTATAAATGAATGAATGAATGAATGTATGTTAAGGGAAACAGTCTCATCCTATTTTTCACTAAATAACTCTGCAAGGACAGCAAGTCACTTCTCTTCTTTGCGTCTGTCTTCCTTCCACCATAAAGCTTGTGTGTCGGTGTAAGTAACCTTTAAGGGTGTGCCCCAATATACCCCTCATCTTTCAGTTTATTTCACTGTAGAATAATACTTATTTTTATAATCTCAAATTCCAAATCCAATAATCCTTTTTCAGTGGCAGGCCTCGTTGCCACTTAAGCCATTCCAGCAGCTCTTGACTTAAAAGTACTATCAGAGAATGGATTCTTGACCTCTTCTTGCTTCCTGTAAACATGCACTAGGAGCATAAAGAGCTTTTAGAAAAGAGGCACCTTCTGCTCCCATGTAGTTTCTTGGCTGTGCGTGATCTCAGTCTCACCTCTCTCCTGCAACACTTGCCACTAAGTACAGAAAGGATACCAAAGCATTCCTTACAGAACCAGAAAACTAAAGAAGGCAGTTTGGTATAGTTTAACCTTCAAAAAAAGCTCTGGTCATCACCCAGCCCAGTCCCTGGACCCTCTCTGCCTAACCTGCATGTCCTGGTAGATTCCAAAGGGAAAAGGGAAACACCATTATCATTGTTTTGAAAGACCATCATGTTTTTCAAAATACAGGTATTTTCTCCTCATGATTAAATTTAATTCTCACAACTATTCTTGATATAGGTGCTATTATACCCTCTTTTGGATGAAGAAACTGAGATCCACACAGGGTCATTAATAGGTTCAAGACTTCACATTTGAACTACAGTCTGATGAAGGCAAGAGTCATTGTTAGTGAAATGATATGAGAGAGATAAATTGGAGTAAAGGGAACTACTTACCTCAAAGTAAAAAGTAGAGGATTCATGGATGAGGGGAGAGCCCCTCTGTCAAGATGAAACAATACACAGCGCCCACAGGAGCATCATGTACCCTCTGATGCTTGAAGCTGGAGAGACTTTGAACTCTGGCAGGAGGAGGTTTGCGTCCCAAATCTGAGGACATGACTTACTGCAAATTTCATTTCTTTTTCTTTAAACTTCTCTTTGACATGATTTTAGATTTAAGGAAAATTTACAAAGTTTCCTTAATTAGTACAAATAATTATCGCAGTAATATAAATAGTACAAAGAAGAGTACAAAGAATTCCTTTGTGTCTTCTCCCAGAGTCTTTAAATATTAATACATTTCCACATTTGTTTTATCATTCCCACACACACAGCTTTTTCTGAACCATTTGAACCTAAGTTACAGACATGATGACCGTTAATAATTCAGTGTATATCTTCTAACCACAAGGACGTTCTGTTATGTAACCATAGTACAGTTACAAAATCAGGAAATTAACATTGATCTAATTCTGTTACCTTCAGATTGCATTCATGGTTTCCCACGTGTCCCTAGATTGTCCTTTGTAAAAAAAGAAAATCATGGATAAATCTGTCTTTCATGACACTGACATATTTGAAGTCACATATGTTTTACAATGTCCCTCATTCTCAAGTTTTCACAGGATTAGTTTCAGGTTATGCCTTTTTGACTGGAATACCCCAGAGGTGATGCCGTGTCCTTCTCAGTGCATGAGGTCAGAAGGAACACGGTATTTATCCTACTCATGTAGATATTAACTTTGATCACTGGTTCAGATGGTATCTGCTACGTTTCTCCACTGTAAAAGACATATTTTTTTCAGTTGCAGCCAAAAATTATAAGACAAAACTTTTGAGGACTAAGTAAGTTTCTTAGTCTGATTACTGTTTCACCAACCAGTACTATCATGTATTAGGATTCTTCCCTTAATCAATAAATAATATGATGCTCACCAAATAGTGATTTTTCTGATTTAATCATTCCTTCATCATTTATTGGCTGATCCTCTAATCCAAGGAAAAGCTTTTACTTCTTCCTCATTTA